TTGTGTTTGAACCCCGGCCCCAACCTTTCTGTCCGTGCCTTTTTCCTCTTCTTTCTCCCCTATTTCGGGTTTTTTCTCTCCCCACCTCGTCCTACCTCATGAATGGGCATATTGGACCTTATAAACTTTGATTTGATCCATATATCTTCGAGAGCAAGGTATCCTCGCTCTCCTCCTAGTTTTTTTTTGCATCGATTCGGTATATATTAGTCGAATTTTTTAACCTAAGAATTGTCATGACTTAGGGTTTCATGCAATTTTTAATATTTGTATTAAACCTAGGTAATCGCAGCGCATGTTGTTATGTTTTATGGGTTTATTGTTGTGCATAACATTGGAAACCCTAGGTTTATAGTTGAGTGTTAATTGCTTTCGGTTCTTAGAACGAAATTGGTTGTATTGTAGTTATGGTTTTCATTGATATTTTATTCGTGATGTTTTGATTTTTATTTGTTAAATTACATCCGTTTTGTTAGATGCAAGAAATGTATCAAGAGGAGTTTTGGCGAAAACAGGGTCGTCCTCGAGAATTATACCCCGACGCGTTTAGCAAAGATGCCTCCGTCCCTCTTGACCTACCTATCCCTAATTGTGACTGTGGTTTCCCGACCCACGTGTTTCAATCGAAACATCCGGACACAGCAGCGCGGTGCTTCTATACATGCAGTCGTTTTAATGTAATAAATTATTTCCACTATCTTATTTTCTTTATTTATGTAAATATGCTACTAGTATTTTGTTGGAATCTCGTTGTGTAGGACCATGAGAGGTGCTTTTTCTTTCAGTGGATCGACGGTGCAGACAAGTTTGACCCTAGATATCTCCTTTTCGACGATTAGTTTAGAGAGAGACATCCACGTGAGCACTTCAAGCGGTGGGTTCCACCTCCCCTACCCCCCCCCGCCAATGACGGGTAAGGAGAAGCACCTAGCCGCAGTTAGATGACTCGAAGAACCTCCTCTGTGCGAATACGGAAATCGAGCCGTGATAAACCCTGAGAATACGTTGGAGTTTGTGTGTCCGAACAAACACGAAGTAAGTGAAAAGTGTATCTGTTTAAATGTTTAGCTCTATGTGTGCGTGTACTAATGTCACCTTATTTAGGTGTTTTCAATGGCGAAGTGTCGTTTCAAGGAGTGGTTGTATGGTCCTAAGAACCAATGGCCCGAAAAACCACGAAAGGTTAAAGAAAAGAAGAAAAAAGAATAATTTACAAAGCACCTCCTGTCATGTGCGAATGTGGTGTTAAATTCAACTATGGTCTAGTCCCTTCGGAGCTTGGAATAGGCCATTATTGCGGCTATATGGTTGACTATGATGAGGTTGGTTATTTTTGTGGTAAACATGAAATCATATTTTATTTCTTTTGCTAAGACATATATGATATATTTTTTCGTTTGAACAGACCACTAGGAAATACAGGTGGGAATGTTATGATGGTCAAGCTAAGTTCTTGGTCAAAGCATGTAACCTCATGTGTGCTAGTCCTTTCATTTGCCTTCTCTAGGTGTGCCTTTGGTTTCGGATCCCATATCTCTCCATCATTCCGCAACTTCAATGCATGGCCGTGTCTATCGTTGAACCAGGCAACAAGCTTATAGAAGGTGAATTGAACGATTACATTCACGGGCATACCACGTATCCCCAATAGCAACTTATTGAATGACTTTGCCATGTTGCTGCACTGAAACTCGTACCTCCATCCATCGGCGTCGTGAGCTCTCGTCTATTTCTCCAAATCCCTCATCAAACATGTGAGCCATTGTCTACCTTCTGCATTTGATGTGGTTCTGACTTGCTCCAACTTTTTTTGAAAGTACTTGTCCTCAAGCTGTCGAGCAGCCTCTTGGAACAGATCAAAATTACCCTTGACACCATCCTTCCGGAGTAGATTCTCGGCAAGGTGCCGAGCACACAAACGATGGTGCAAAGGTGCATACCCCTTTATCTGCTCTCGCACAGCATTAAGTATGCCCTGGTGCCTATCAGATATGACGCCAACCTCCCTGCCAGACTCAACCACGTGTATCCGGACGAGCCTCAAGAACCATCCCCAACTGTCATTGTTCTCCTTTTCAACCAAAACAAATGCTAAAGAAACAAACTTATTGTTTACGTAACATGATATGGCTATAAGAAGTGTGCCATGATATTTACCAATCAAGAACGTACCATTAATGGAGAAGACAGGACGATAGTGCCTAAAGGTCTCGACACATCGAGGGAAGCACCAGAAAGCACGGAAGAATATCTGCCTCCCCAATCCTTCCATGCATTTGGTTTTGGGATGTACTCATAATGCATGACTGGACTCACCGCTTTGATTGCATTGAAAAGTACTAGAAGCTGCTCGTACCCATCCTCCTAGTTCCCATATATTATCTTCCACGCTCGCTGTTTAGCCCTGCAAGCTTTACCATAAGTTATCACATAACCTCCATACAATGCCTCAACGGTCCTGATAATTGTCCGCACCTTCATGTTGGGTTCTTCCTACAATATTCCCATCAATCGCTTGGCAATGAGGGTAGATGTCAACTCCCAATGCCTCATGGTCAGCTCATGATCAGCACAATTGTATGGCCTAACAATTTTTGTGATCTTCCACCTTCCGATGACATTTTGCTTTCTTGCACAAATCCTTCGTGAGCAGCGTTAGCCGAATGACGGAAACGCCCTCCGATTCAAATCGCGGAGCACGCCCGGACAAAAGAGTGCCACGGTCTGGAGTCCAGCGAGTGCATGTTGCACGTGCCCTCCACGCTGCCGCATCGTGTCATGCTCCCCCCACTGGGAGCAGAGCAGACGCTAGGAACCGGCAGCAAATCCATCGCCGATCCATGCGTCACTGTAGCACTGCTGCTCTGATGCAGGTCCTTGTTGATGTGTGGGGCGTGGGCGCCTCCTGGTCCGGAGAGAGGCAGCGGATCGCCGGTGGAGTCGTTGGGATCGGGGCCCGACGGCGACGGAGTTCTGCTTTCGGCGGATTGATTTGCACTTCACCGCCGTTCCAGGTTACCAGGTGGCACCGTGGCAGGATCAGATGACCAATCAGGCATACTGCTATTCAACACACACGCTCCTGGATTGGAAAATGATGTCTCCGTGTTTTTTCATTTCAACGCGATTGCTTTGCTCAGGCACGCTCCTCCCCTGCCTTTTTGCTTCGTCGCGGCGTGTCCTCAATTTTCAGAGAAGAACAGAAGCGGCAAAAGCTTTCTTGTCCTTTACATACATCTGGCCCCACGCTCCCGTCATGTTATGTGACGGACACTTAAAAAAGCACCATGGTTTCATTTCGAAATTATCAGGGCCACGTTTGTGAGTACAGTAGCCGTAGTGAGTTCAGCAGCGCGTAGACAAACCCTTTAAAAATAAAAAAGGGAGAAAAAAATGCACCAGCCGGGAATCGAACCCGGGTCTGTACCGTGGCAGGGTACTATTCTACCACTAGACCACTGGTGCTTTGCTGGTGAGTGAACCATATAATATTTCTTGATTTATTTCGAAGCCGCCTGTTGGATTATTTTTTACAGTCGGTGATTTGTTGGTCACATCTGCCTTAATGCTGCCACTGAGTTTGCTGTTGGCAAAAGGGCATAACAGCTTCCGCGCCGGACAAAGGGGACCGTCGTTCATTGTTTGTGACATTACACATTCACAAATGACAAAAATTACACCGTACAGAAACAGAGCCCATCGGGAACACAGCACACTAACACTGAGCGTTTGTTGTGCGACCTATGTAAAAGCAGACCATTAGGTCCGCTTGTCTAGCATAACGATCAAAGTCGAATCGTGAGCCAATAAAGCAGCTTGATAAGAACCTATACCTAGAGCTAACATCATATAACCCAATTGAGACATAGTATTATCGCTGCATTCATGTGTGCATTTGTTTGACGATGGCTCCAACATGATTCTTCCTATACTGCTAATGGATCCAACTTGAATAAACGTTGCCCTGAAGCTAACCATGCCATGCCCTGAGAGGCCTGAAGCTAAGTTTATGGCTACCATTTTACATATCAGTGGCCTACTAAAAGTACAGCCAAGGCATTGTTTGGACCACCCATTAGCTGTTAATATTAGTTAGCTACCTAATAACTTGTAACTAATATTAGTTAGTTAACTATTAGCTGGTTTGACTCAACTAGAAAGATGGTTGTTAGTTGGGTATTAGCTAACAATTAGCTAGACCTGTTTATTTTAGATCTAAAAGAGCTAATTATTAGCTCTATGGATCAAATATGACCTAAGTTGATGAGGTCCTTTGTGGCAGAACATATTTGACAACTGATCAACGCATGTGCTTGTATTTACGACTAGTTATTACTCTATCTATTTTAAATTATAAGATATTTTGATTTTTCTATATAAATAATTTTTATTATGCGTTAGATATACATTATATCTAAATACATTATAAAAGTAATGTATCTAGAAAACTAAATCACCTTATAATTCATAACAGAGGCAGTATTTTAGTAGTTGACGATGTATCCATCCATAGTGAGGTTAGATATGCACATACAGGTGGAATGTGCGTAACTATATGCGTAGGACGAGTGTGCTTGTATATTTTTACAAGCATCGCGTCTTTATCGTGTTTACATAAACATCACAAATCAGTGCATGACAAAATACTACAGGTCCTTGCAAAACTGGGCTTTATTGCGGAGTCTCCCTCGAGGATCGGACGAAACCAAGCCCACGGCCCACCTCACTTCGTTGGTACAGGCCCGGCATCAGGGATACTTCCACTCAAAAAAAAAAAAATCAGGGTTACTGACATATGGACCACACCTGTGAGAAAAGATAGCCGGGAAGCCCGCAAAAACCCTCGTCTTCCAACTTCCTTCCCGCAGCGGCGGAGTGCGCGCCCATCAGTCCCGAGTTCCCGCCACACACCTCCATTCCCCTCCCAATCTTGTCCCCAAATCTCTGTTCTCTCTAGCGGCGAGGCGAGGTCAGGCGGGGAAGACGAGCGAGCGGCGAGGATGTTGTGGGTAGACAAGTACCGGCCGAAAACCCTAGACAAGGTCACCGTCCACGACCAGGTCGCGCAGAACCTCAGGAAGCTCGTAAGTGCCGGCGATCTGCGCGTATTCAGTTAATCTAGGGTTTCCCCTATTTTTTGTGCTGTTCTAATCACGTGTGGTTTGGTTTTCTCAGGTGTCGGAGCAGGATTGCCCGCACCTGCTGTTCTATGGGCCGTCGGGGTCCGGGAAAAAAACCCTAATCCTCGCGCTCATCAAGCAGATGTTTGGCGCCGGTGCGGAGAAGGTACACATTTTTCTTTATAAATTTGTTGGGTCTCCTATTTATTGTATAGATTTTCCATGTTGAGGCCATGCTTCGGTGTTGACATTTTTTTTAAATCTCTGTTGCAGGTTAAGCTGGAGAACAAGACATGGAAAATAGATGTAAGTCCAATTATTTGTCCTCTTCCGTATTAGTGACACTAGCAAATTCAGATGATGTGTTGAATACTTGAAGAAATGCTATTGTACATTAATAGTATTTACTTCTCAGGGAAGGCACTAGTGCCAGATAGGATGTAGATGAGAAATCCCCTTTTGTGTAATCTTGACTGTCACAACACCACGATAGAGAAGTACCACAGTTTAGATGTTTCTCTTGCTGCACGTGGTAGTTGAATGTGTATGTTCATACTTCCTGTTTGAACATCTTCTGATTTATTGAATTTGGGTTTGCTATGTATTTGTCTGGAGCATTGAGTTGCTATTTTTGCTCTTCAGACTGGAACAAGGACACTTGAGATAGAATTGCCGATGTTGTCAAGTGCTCACCATGTGGAGATGAACCCCAGTGATGCTGGCTTTCAGGACAGGTATGTTGTCCAGGAGGTCATCAAAGAGATGGCGAAGAACAGGCCAATTGATGCCAAAGGCAAGAGAGCATTTAAAGGTTAGTGCTTTATCAGTACCTTGTTTGTGCTCCTACAATTCATTGTTGGCTACTACTACAACTACTAGTTGAATACCCCATCTGTTGTGGTGGCACAAAAACAAATAATTACATGCGTGTGCACAGTTCATTCAAGTATGATATCATAGATGGAACACAAATAGTACGAATGTTGGTAATTAATGTAAAGTGCTGAGGAAGGTTTATGTTCAGTGGTATAGGTGGGTAAATAAAGCAAACTATAGGGGTATAAAATGATGATGACAGCAGGCACACCATCATCACTAACTAAAATGTTTTTAAGTAGTTGAGATTAACAGAAGTGCTGCTACCTTTTTTCTTCCTGATACTTGATGTTATGCATGATTTGATGAAGAAATATCTGTATAGTATGCAGTCGTCTCACATAATGCTAGTATGTTTACTTATTAGGTATCAACTAATAATTTTCCATAATCCGACACCTGAGACACGAGCATGCATCTTATTTAGGTTGAATGCATACCTCCTGTTGAGAGTAACTTAACCGATTCATCTGAATTTTCAGTCCTTGTGTTAAATGAAGTGGACAAGCTCTCACGAGAAGCTCAGCATTCCCTCCGCAGAACTATGGAAAAGTATAGCTCATCATGCAGGCTGATCCTATGCTGTAACAGCTCCTCAAAAGTGACAGAGGCTGTAAGATCCCGTTGCTTAAATGTGCGAGTAAATGCACCCAGCGAAGATCAGGTTGGTGATTGATGCCCTGAACTTTCATTTAACATTTGATCTTACTTTGCCTCATTGTCTTGGCTGTTGATTGACACTATGCCATGCCATATGGGTGTTCAAAAGCACTGTTGACATTTCCTAATGATTTGCTTCCTCAAGTCCAAAATATTAACGGGGAATTGGGGACAGACTATGCAAATACTTAAAGTCTCACACCATTCTTCACTTCCCAGATTGTCCAAGTTCTAGAGTTCATTGGGAAGAAAGAAAACCTGCATCTTCCAGCTGGATTTGCTGCTCGTATCGCAGCACAATCAAACCGTAATCTTAGGCGGGCAATACTGTTTTTTGAGACTTGCAAAGTGCAACAGTAAGCTTTTGTGCTTATTTGTTATCCAGTGTTTTACTGATTTGCCACACCTCCACTTACAGTTATGTTAATCTTTACCTTCTGCCAACACTGACTACTACTGTCATATTCTTTTTTTCTTTGGCTTTCAGATACCCATTTACATCAAATCAAGTGGCGCCTCCTCTTGATTGGGAGCAATATGTGTCTGAAATAGCAACTGATATACTGACAGAACAAAGCCCTAAAAGGTTCGAACTCTGTTGGATGAAGTACTTAAGCCTTATAATTCTTGTTGCATGCTTTTATTCATCTCAAAATTTAAACATGGGTCCAGCTGCAGTATTGCTTTTCTTGTACTAGGTTTTCACATGCCTATGTTTGCTGAATATAAAAGACATGTCAATGACTGGAATGCAGTGAGCGCATGCCTAGACCTGGCTACAGTGCATGTTTCTCCAAACAGATAGGAAAACTCGAATTGGTATTTGTTTTGGCAAATTCTGTTTGGAATTTGTAACAGATAGTTCATATAATTCAGTATCAGTGTTAAAAGCACCGAGTTTTGCTATATTTGTGGATGCTCTTATAGCTCAATATCATTGTCCTTTTGGTACTGAACTACTGATATAATGACACTATTTCCTGAACATCTCTTTTTATTCATCGCACATGCAGTTCCATATGTAATCATTTTTGTCTATAGTTTTTTCTTTTTTCTTTGTTGTTTTTAAAAAAGGGACCAAACTAGGAGGAACTAGGTGGCTTTATGTTAACCCAAATTTACGTCAGTGAGGACATGAACTTGTGTGGTCTAGGCATACATCCACACCCTCAACGAACTGAACTAGGTTTAGATCCTTTTTTGGTCTAGTTTCTTTGAGTTACTTCATTAGCTGTCCATGCTTCCTGATTCCTGTCAGTATTTGTCATGTAGCCTGCAACTACATGGGAAGATGTATGTTTAAAATCTAATCTAATAGTATGATGTTTCTACTACTGATTGAAAGCAGCTAAACATGATGTTTCTACTGGTCTTTTATATTCTTATTTTTACAAATTTGAATGCCTTGTGACACAGAATACTGATTGAAAGCAGCTAAACATGATGTCTGTTTAAATTTGAATGCCTTGTGACACAGAATATAGCTGGTCCTTTCCAATGTGTGCAGCTTCTGCTCTGGATTTGTTGAAATTTTGTTTACGTGTCACGATTTATGCAAGTGACTTATTGATTTTCTTTGATTTTGTCTCTGAACATTTCAGGCTATTTGCTGTACGTCAGAAATTCTATGAATTACTCGTCAATTGCATCCCACCTGAAAGTATTTTGAAGGTGACTTGATGCTTCTTCAGTGCTTTATTTCATTCCCATTCTTACCATACATGCTGAACTTTCTCTCTTGACTACTGCAGAAATTGTTGGCAGAATTATTGAGGAAGTTAGATGCTGATCTGAAACATGAAATCTGTCACTGGGCTGCACACTATGTGAGTGAACAATTCAAAAACACTATTTCACTGTTAATTAGTTCATTATTACACCCTGGGATTGTCAAATAACAGAACTCACAGGTGCATGGCATATTTAAAGTGGATTAAACGTGTGGTGCTATTCTTGACATCTCATAGTTCTAACTTTGCTTTATTTCAAAAAAAAAAATAGTTCTAACTTTGCAAGGCCCTATGTTTGCAGGAGCACAAGATGCGCCTTGGATCAAAGGCCATTTTTCATCTAGAAGGTACTTTCCCCTTCTCGTTACTGCTCCCAATAATGCTTGTTAGCCTGTATGTGTATCCTATACAATCTTATCATTGTTTTGGAACAAAATAATTTGGTGCCTATATGAATGCCCCACACTCTGCTACATAACCAAAGCATGCTGTTATAATTATGGATTGGTTTAGTTATGTATGACCTCAGCTTGAGATTGTTCTTGTTTCCTTTTATTAGTATGTGCCCGTCTCAGATTTGCCTTGCATGGTCTTAGCGTGATGATTATGTACAGAAGCCATACTTATCCGCCCCTTCCCTTCTGCAGCTTTCGTGGCCAAGTTCATGAGCATTTACAAGGAGTTCCTGGTGGCTACATTTGGTTGAGCAAAACCTCAAGCGGGGTTGTCACCCGCGAAGCGAAAAGAGGATGCAATCGGCTATCGGATTGTATCAGGGAGCATCTTTGGCGGTGTGGTCTTGTACTAAACTCGTGAACGACTAGATTCATTCTGTCTATTTGAACCATCGTCTACTCGGGTTACCCTTGTGATTCCATCGTGTCTGCCTGCACGTGGACGTTGATGACGACATGATCATACGTTGATGACATGATTAGAAATCATTTCGCTAGGTTAAGAGAACATCCTGAAAGTGCGGCAGACTCGGAAGTATCAAATAATAGCATGTGAACAGAACCAAAGAATGTCTATGAACAGCACAAACATGAGAACCGTAGCAAAGATAACGAAGCAAGCTGATTCATGTTATTGCAATTTGCAAGCGTGTTGTCTCAAATTCAAATTAAAATAGCTGTCCCCATTTACACTACAACAGCTTTTGATTACAAAGGTCAGTGCTTGCGGGGTTGGCGTCTCAGACCCTTGGCCTCACCCTGCGCCCGCTGGTGTCGCCGCCGTCAGAGAGCTGCGCCCACACGCTCTGGCTTTTCACGCCGCTGCTACATGGCTCCTCACACCCGGCAACTGTCCGTAGTATCTCTGACTGCAGAGATATGCAGTTGTCTTTGAGATAGTCGAACCCCTCGCTCCGGATCACAGCTGCAGACACATAAGGGCATCTGGAATGTTATACAGTTCAAGACTTATTTCGGCACCACCAAGCAACAGACGGGCGAAAGGTAAAATATGGTACACAATATACTGATTGAGCTAAAATATAGGAACACAATTTACTGATAGAGGTAAGGTGAAAGCGCAAGGTAAAATAATGGTCCAAACAGAAATGACTTAAATTCAGAGAGTTATCATCACTCATAATCCAGTAACCGTAACTATCAGTACTATTTTGGCACAATACTATTTATCAAGTTTCACAGCTATGCCAATTTACTATGCAATGAGAACACACTGCAGACATTTCGCCAGCATGCAAGCACCTTGCCATGCACAGCCTAGGTAAATCATCCATCAAAGTGGAACTGCCTAATGTCTAACAAGTCTTCTTGGGAACTTGGACCATGAAAAAAGCAAAACATACTAAATTTTTTATAGAATAAAAACTATGCATTCCAGAGCCTTCTCTTTCTTGTGTAATAAAGCTAGTAAGTTAATCACAGATCAAAATTATGCCAAAAGATGTGAACCCAGCCAGAGGATATCTACAAACGTCATGTGAAGGTTAAACAGATTTCATGTCAAGTCTTATTACCTGAAAGGTTTTCAGCAGCAAATTTTAGGCAAACAGATTTAAGCTCCATAGCATGCTGCCGATCAGCCAATGCTAGAGTAGTTGCCACGGAGTTTACAGAAATATGCTTGCACAAGTAAGATTCACACAACAATCTTAGCCTTGGCAACTCATATTTGTCTGCTGCAGCCATTAACTTCCCAGCTAAACTATCAAAGATAGAGCAGTCAGAGCTTGATGCAGACAACTCATCATCATCAACAAGATTGTCCCTGTAGATAAAATGAAGCACAGCCTGCAACATGGAATATTTGCACGGATGAAAATAAAATCCCAAGTTTGTTGAACAGGGAAATGGATGATGAGATTGACACCAAAATATAGAGATACCTTGAACACTACAGGATCCATGTCATCGATGACGATATCTTTGATTTCATCCTTTGTATCAGTTTCGTTCTTCTCTTCACCCGATTCATGATCGAAAAATTCAGATCTAAAAAAGGGAGACCGGGCAGCCAATACCAACTTATGGGCATGAAACTTCTCTCCTGCTACACTAAAAACAACGTCTACACCTTCCTGAGTGTCCAAAAGCGTTCCAAAATGATAGCCTATGTCAGACTCTGGAACCTCTATTGAATGTGGCCTAGAATAATCCATAGTTGATACTACAACACCCACAGTACAGTTTATCTTCAAGCAATCATCTTTAAGAAAATCTGATAGTTCAAGAGCATTACGCCGAAAGAACCTTTTATAGCCCCTGAAAAATTAAAACAGGACAATCAAATATGGGTACTTTTCAGAAACAAACTTGGTCAAATGCAGGGAGTAAAAGTCTAAGTAAAATAAAACAGGCAGGCACATTTTATATAAAAAAAAACTAAACAATCTGGAAGAGATATGTATGTGTACTATTTATTAATTACTTGGACATATATGAGCTGCCAGAAAGGGACGATATTAATGTACTTGCACAGCTGCACCTTTGTGAGGGGCCGACGGTCTGATGGACAACTGGTTATCATAGGATGAGAGAACCCAGATAACCAACATAAAGTTATTCGAATAGACAGCGGGCGCACAAAGTTCCCGCTTTTCAAGCCCACATGTAAGCATATAGGTTACAGATTCTCTAGTCCCTACCACCTTCCCATCAATTCACTGCAACGTTTAGCTTATCTAGAAATTCTAAGTAATGCGGAAACTGAAACTAATGCACTACTTTAAGAGATCTCGTGACACTAATCAAGCATCCGAAGAAAATACAGAGAACCAGCTAGATATCTCCAAAAATTTTAGTAAGTACTCCCTTGTAACTATAAACCTGAAAACTGAACTAAATATCCACACTGGATAAATACTATTAGCATGGAGCAGAAATAATGATAGGTCTGTCAGAAACATGGTACTGTTTCTTCATGGGAACATTAATTTTATTAATACTACCTCTGGTCATGACCGGAGAGAGTATAAGACAAGAATTCAAACAAACGCCACTCCAAAACGGATTTTGAATTTTTGATTGATGCAGTGATGTCACATGACTAATTTTTGGATGGCCTCATTAAGCAGTTACAGCTCAATGGGTTGAGCAAAGGAAATATTAATTATTAATGCGAACAGGGAAGCAACCAAATTAGACTGTAATAAACACGTCATCACAGGCATCTGCGTATTATAGATCACCAATTTTGTCACACAGTGTTTATTGTCAAACTCACAGGCCAAATACAAGGCTGGAGCAATATACAAACACATCCAAATCAACTAAACAAACTCAAATCAGGCACCGAGTTATGATGAAACAAAAACATGCACCATATTATGTAGATTAATCACTAAAAATATCTCCCAATAGCCACCAACTACTTTCAAATCAAATTAATTCAGCAGGTACCCTGTAACCAATCTAGCCACTCGTTCTAAACCTAAACAGAGCTCATTACTCAACGCAAGCTACTTAAGGCGGCAAGAGATAAGGAGACAAACTCCTAGATCATTACCACATGGATCCGCGGTACTTGAGGGTGTATGGCCCGGACTCTAGGGAGCGGTCGAAGTGCGAGTGCACCTTGTGCTTGCCCTTGCCGCTCTGGTCGAGGAGCGTGAGCTCGAAGAGCGCGCGCACGTCGGTGCCGTCAGACGCGAGCGCGATGAAGACGGAGACGTAGTTGGAGTTGTCCTCGGGGTTCTTCCCGTCGGGGTAGAAGTAGATCGCCCACTGGTAGCCGCCGACGGTGAAGGTCTCGCTGGCGATGTGCTTCCCGACGCCCATGCCCTTGGCGAGCGAGTAGCCCTGGATCACAAAGCGGTGGGACCCGTTCACCGTCTGCGTCACGGAGCGCGAGCGCGTCGGGGACGCCGCCATGTCCCGCGCCCGGTCGCCCGACGCCGCCGCGGCGTGGTGCGGAGGGGAGGCCTCGCCCCCGCCGCCGGGGCCAGCGTCCTCGTCCTCCATGGGGAGCGGAGCTGTGGGGAGGGGAGGGGGCGAGGGGAGGAGAGGCTAGGGTTTGGGAGCGGGAGGGTCCTCGGCGAGGTCGGGGACGGGGAGCGAAGCCGACGGGAATGGGGACACGGGCTGCTGTATTATACAGCCCAGCCGATGGGGGTGGAGCGAAGAGGGTGGAAACGTGAGAGACTTGCCAGGGTGGAATGGAATGGAGAGGAGTCGCGGGAGGTGACAAAGCCAGTTTGCAATGGTCTATCTGTCCTGTGGACCCACTTGTGTTTCAAACCTAACAATACAGCGTGCTTGCTCGCGTATCGTATCAGCCCATCCCAGCTAGAGCTAAAAAAAAGTTCATGTCGGCTATGGCCCTGTTCGCTCGAACTTATCACCGTAAATGCGTCGTTTTGAATATATAATAATTTTTTTTATAATAACAAATCAAGATAAGATCGTCATTGTCGATGCGTTTTTAGCCAAAATTTAACAGACTCAGATACTAGTTTTTAGGTTCGTCGGAAAACCATATTACTCCATCCGTCCCTAAAAGAATATAAATATCACTTTTCGAGGTAAGATAGCGTCCCTGTTCGCTCGAACTTATCAACCGTACCGTTTCAACGATATAATAGTATTTTTCTCTCATAACAAATCAGTATTAGCATCAACGTCAGTCGTTTTTTAGCCAGCCGAACAGAACCTGTATTACTAGTTTTTAGGTTCGTCGGAAAACCATATTACTCCACCCGTCCCTAAAAGAATATAAATATCACTTTTCGAGGTAAGATAAGTACAAGCGTAAAATTACGCATTTGCTCTTTCCTAGGTCAATCTAGAAATGGTTATCTTCTATAATGTTCTTCTCAGGGATGGTAGGTGTCGGTTTCATAGACCCGGGGTCCCTCGCGGACCGGCTTCCCAAAACAAAAGTTCGCCCAAGCAGACAACGCATAGCTCCTAGGCCGGTCCAAGTAACTAAACGACAGGCCAGAAGGTCGATTCAATCACCGACCGGAAGGCCTGGCCGAGGAGGAACGACGCCCGCTTCTGACTCCGGCCCGCCTCTCCGACCGGAGCGCTCGCTTCGGTCACCAGCCCGCCTCCGGATGGCCTCTCTAACCGGAAGGCCTGGCCAAACACCGCTTCCGACTCCGACCCGCGTCTCCGACCAGGGATGCGGCAAACCCCTGCTCCCTGCTCTTCTCCGACTGGCGCGATCAGAGCCGACTGGAACCGACCGACCGGGGACGCCCGCTCGGTAAGGACCAGGAAATGAACGGAGAAA